AAAGAACAAGGTAGCTATTACTCTCAACAAAGGCAGGTTCTTGGATGGTGTGGCCCACCTCTTGTAAACATGGCCCAGTGGGTGTGCTGGCTTCATCAGAAGGAAGCCGCAGTGGAGATCAGAGGACAGTAGGAAAAACCCTCCTCCCCTCCACTAGCTAGAATTACCAAACAAAATCAGTGTGGCTAATCTGCTGACAAGTGTCCTCACCCTGCTGGGCTGTTCTCATGTCCTGGGGACTCATGGGATGAGGGCTAATCCTAAGAGACAAGAGCCAGTTTTCCAGCCTGCGATGATGTGAACTTCCTTGCCCACTGTCTCACCCTATCCTACCTGCCTTTGGCTCCCAGGCATCTTTACTGGGCCACATGCTAAGGATCTTGACTCTCTCCATTAGAGTGACATCACCAACCTTGGGAGTTGCATGTAGCAGATTAACTGTCACAACTTCTCTGAGTCTCCATTTCCTTATCCTTGACTCACTCATTGCTTTCAGGTAAGAACAAACTCACAGATGACCCTCCAACTGTTTTCTGAGGCTGTAAATCACATAAGAGGAAATGACCCTTCTCCTGTGGAGCAGCTGATGGATTTGAACCAGCAAAGAGGTGTCACCTTTAGTTTAACAGTGCAACTACACGACCAGAGCTTCCTTAAATTTTCTTAAATTTGTTGTTGTTGTTGTTGTTAGGTGCCATCAAACTGAGTACAACTCATAGGCACCCTTTGAACAACAGATCTGTCCCCTATCCTATCCTGTGCCATCCTCATCATCATGGACACGCTTAAGCCCATTATTGCAGTCTTGTGTTATTCCACCTTGTTGAGGGCCTTCTTCCACTGACCCTCTACCTTTCCAAGCGTGATATCCCTTTCCGAGGAATAACCTCCCTAGAAACAGGCTCAAAATATGTGAGATGAAGTTTCGTGATCCTTATCTCCAAAGAGCACTCTGGCTGTTCATGAGATATTCAGTGCTCTTCTCCAGCAGCACAACTTGTCTTCTGTCATCCTTATTTATTGCCTGGCTCTCAGATGCATAGTAAGTGATTGAAAAGACCCTGGGGTGAATTAGGTACACTTGAGTCTTCAAACTGACATCACTGCTCCTAAGTGATTTGAAGAGATCCTCAGAGCAACTGATAGATTTGAACTGCCTGCCTTTGGGTTAGCAGCACAACTCCTTTACACTAGGCCACTAGTTCCCTATCTAATCCTTAGATAAAATAATACCTCCCAGCAGGGAAAGCAGAGAGACTCTAGGTAAGGTTCTATACATCATACAGTTAACTGCCCAAATGTAGTTTGTGATATTTTAACAGGATTGTCTTATATTTTTCAAAGGGTGTCTGTGCTCTAATAAAGTGTGCCCTGAGTATCTAAAAGCCATGGAGAAGCCGGTGATGCTGGTGGCAGAACTTCAGGGGTGACAGCAAGGTGCTACTAGGGCCAAGGAGTTGTCTTCAAGTATCTGTGATTCAACAAGGACAGAATTCTCTACTCAGGATTATCTGATGTTAGAGGCTGCTCACAGTCCTGTGGGCTCCCGAGAGCCACTCCAGGGGGCATGCTAAAGGCATGTACTGGAGTGTTTGGGAGGGAGGAAATTAAATGGCATTATATTCAAACACTTCCAAAGCATTAAAATAGTCAAACCACCAGAGGTTTAGTGAGTGTGAGCACAGTAGCTGTTTATATAGGTAGATGTTGCTGGTTCCAGGAAAGAGGTCAAGTTTTGACATGAGGAAACAGCTTGTAGAGCAGCTTCTCAGACATGTGTGTGCCACGTAATCGCCTGGGGATCTTGTTGAAATGCAGACTCAGTAGGCCTGGAGTTGGGCCGGAGACTGCATGTGTAACAGGGACCCAGGTGATGCCAATGATTCCAGCATGGACCACCCTTTGAGGATCAAGGTGGTCCTCAAAGCTCCCTGTCTGCCCTGCCCTTACTTTACCCAGGAAGGCCATTCAGACCAGCTCCTGCTCAGTTGCACTTTATCTCTATTTGTACATGAATGATGCCCTGAATGAAAGTTCTTGTCCCCAAGAGTGGCCTAAAAATGACTTGTCAGCTGGAAAAATCTCTGGGGCCTTATCACACAGCCCTATCCGGGAAGCGGAGAAGTCTGTCACTGAACAGTAGCTCCTCCCAAGCTCGCCCTCTGCTGGTGAACATGGGTCATTTTCTTGTAAACCCTCACCAAGCCTTTCTTGCTGCCCAAATAGTGATTCTACCCCTCCTTCCAATAAGTATAAGCAGAGAAGTTGCATGACATCTTTCAAAATCTTTCACTTTTGTAAAGTGTGGAGAACTTCCACTTTGTCACGCCGCTCATCCTTTGGAAAAATAGATGTTATTGTTGTTGTTATGTGCCGTCGTGTCACTTGCGACTCATAGTGACCTTAAGTACAACAGCCCTAAACTCCGCTCTGTCCTGTGCCAATCACACTGTCTCTGACACTCCCATCCCAATTATCCCAGTCAGTGAATCAGTCCACCTCATAGAGGGCCTTCCTCTCCTGCGCTGTCCCTCCACCCTCCCAAGCATGATGTCCCTCTCCAGGGACCGGTCCCTCCTCACAACATGTCCAAATTATGTTAGACAGAGCCTCAGAATCCTTGCCTCCAAGGAGCCACCCGGTTTAACCCTTCCCAGGACAAATCTGTTTGTTTTGTTTCATTAAAACACCGCAGCCCCTGTTTCTGGGTGGTGCCTGCCATGCCCTCGCCCCACCCTCAGGCACTTTCCAAAGAAGGGGGGCAAGACTTCCTTTACACACAGCCAAAGTATGCAGTCAGGAGAAAACAGCAGGGCTTTTAAGTGGTGAGGTTAATCGTAAAGGCAAAAATGGTATCACCCACAGATACTATCTCATTCTCATTGCTGTCAAATCAGAAGCAGATTTTTGGAGGCTGTAAATCACACAGGAGGAGACTGCAGTTTACATTCTTTCTCTCTCTTGGAGCTACTGGTGGATTTGAACCACGAGAGAGGTGCTACCTTTGAATCAGCAGCAAACCCCCTAAAACTATGCCACCGGAGCCCCCTCCAAAAATTGTATTGTTGTCACGTGCCATCGAGTTGGCATCAACTCGTAGCTGATCCTTCAGTGGGTCTTCCAAGGTAGTAGTACTCATGGAAGGAGACTTCCCATCCTGCAAAGCAGCTGATAGATTGGGTTAGCGCCTCAGACCATCAGAGCTCCCTCCAGAGGTAGGAGACAAGAGGAAGTTAATGATGGGAGCTTAGTGTCACTGATCCTATTATGACCATTCATTCATCTGAAGACCTTTGGACCCCCAGACCTGGAAACTCATACTGAGAGTTCATAACCTAACAGAGGAAATAAGCACAATATTTACTGAACGTTGCTATGCTATATGCCAACCATACGGGTGGGTTACCCAACAGGCAAGGAAGCATGGACTTACTTGTGTTTACTCACTAATCGATAGTGAACAATTGCACATGGGAAAAAGAGGAAATTCTTCAATACAGATCAGTAAGTAAGCAGCACACCTAACCCATGCTTACCTCATCTAAACTAGGTACCACGTCTCTGGCAAGGATTGTAAATGTAAAAAGAGGTTTTGATTCTGTGGGAAGGAACAGTGAGATTGGGAGGGAAACAGATGCTACCCACACTATGAAAAAGAATCTTTGATGTGGAGGGGGAAATGTGAAATTGTTCACTACAGATGAATAAGTAAGCTTAAGTCAAGCCATGCTAATCGAGCTTACTGGGGAATCCGACTGACAAACCTCGGCAGCCTGACTCTAACCTGTGTAACCATTATGCTCTACTCACTTCCACCTAATACAGATACAGTTTCAGAGCAGCCAAGCAGCTCAGCTGCCCACTAAGTCACTGGGGGCTCATCCACCAAGGATCAGCTCCGAAGGAAGCCCTGGCAATCAGCTTCTGAAAAAAACCAGCTATTGAAAACTCCACAGGCCGCTTCTCCCTCTAGCACCTGTGAAATCTCCATGAGTGAGAATCAACTTGACAGCGACTGAATTGGTTTTGTTTTTTAAGCCAGTAGCTGGTGTAAGGTTGGCAATTCATACCCACCTATCAGCTCCATGGAAGAAAAACCTGGTAATGTTTTCCATAAATATTGTAAAACCCAGAAAAGCGCCAAACCCATTACCATCAAGTCTATTCTAAGCCATTCAGACCCTCCATTGGGTGTCTTTGTGGAAGGAGACTGCCTTTCTCCGCAGGAGCAGTTGATGAGTTCGAACCTCCTACTTTTCAGTTACTATACCACATGGAATTTGTCCTGGAAAGGGTTAAACCGGGTGGCTCCTTGGAGGCAAGGATTCTGAGGCTCCGTCTAACATACTTTGGACATGTTGTGAGGAGAGACCGGTCCTTAGAGAGGGACATCATGCTTGGGAGGGTGGAGGGACAGCGCAGGAGAGGAAGGCCCTCTATGAGGTGGATTGATTCACTGACTGGGATAATTGGGATGGGAGTGTCAGAGACAGTGCGATTGGCACAGGACAGAGAGGAGTTTAGGGCTGTTGTACATAGGGTCGCTATGAGTCGCAGGCGACTCGACGGCACATAACAACAACAACAACAACATACCACATGGAAACTTCTCTATTACATAGGGTCTCTGTGAGTCAGTTCACTCAAACACACTTAATAATAACAAGAGATTAGCTCCACCTCAGCAGGTCAGGGAAGCCTCACAAAGGAGGAACCCTCACCCACACGCTCTTCCTCTTAGTGAGGAGAATAGATGGGATTTCATGATTGTAGGGCATAGCATTGCTCTAAGCCCTGTGCCTGGTCAGATGATCTAAATCTGAGAGCCTAAGACAGTTCCGAGAAAGACTTTGAAGTGAGGAGCCCTAAAGGCCAGACTGAACTCTGCCATTCTGGAGTTTAAGGACGTAGAGAAGAACCAGAAGAGAACGAGAGGCGTGGGCCGTCTCAGAACGTCCCAGGGTAGAGTTTCTGACCAACCTGTGCCGCCCCCTCCCCAGATTGGAGACCCGCACTTGGTGATCTGCATGGACTGCTCCGCAGACACCATGACCAACAGACTTCTCCAGCGGAGCCAGCGCAGCGCAGGCAGCCCGTGCGTGGACGACAACGCCGAGACTATTGCCAAGCGCCTGGAAACCTACTACCGCGCCTCCATCCCTGTGATCGCCTACTATGAGACGAAAACACAGCTGCACAAGGTGAGCCCTTTGCCCTCTCCTCCTACAATAAGCCGGTAACCCTTCCTCCACCCCAGGAAAAGAGAAAACACCACCAGTACGTTTTTGGTGAAGAGCTTTAGGAATTGGAGCTGCAAGCAGCTGCCAAGGTTTGGGCCAAAATAGGGGTCTGTTCCTCTCTTTCTGTCTCCATCAAAATTAAATGTCTGTCATCACTAAAATGTCAGCCTTATAATTCCCACAGATGCTATTATAATTCTGGAACACAGCCCCTATTCCCAAGAAGGAGAGAGAAAGGCATAGATGAGGCCTGCGTTTTCACGCACTCACCTCTGCCCTCCAGCTGATTCTGCTAGATCTCAAATTCCACAGCCTCGCATTTCCCTGTTGTTGCATAGTTCATACTTGGCTGCTTTGTCTCAATTTCCTGCAGTAACTGATGTTATTGTGAGAGGCAGCATATGGGCCTGGAGAGCAGGTAATTAGATGAAAAAGTGAAGGGCCTGCAGGGCAGTGGGTACTGTTGGCTTAATGATCATGAGCTATAATCCATGCTGGATCATCTGCTGAATTTGGGCGTACTACCCAGTCTCCATTCTTCTATAACCATTCTGTTATTCACTCTCTATTCATGTGATAGATATTTATTAAGCATCTTCTGTAAGCCAGGTGTTGCTCTAGTGGTTTGAATGAGTAAAAGTAAGCATAGAGTAAGTTCTGAGGGCCCTTTAATGCAGCCTGAGGGCAAGGGGTGATATGGGAGATATCTTGTGGGGACTTCACAAGGTTTGCAAGAAGGAACAACACAAGGAGTGAGCCCCGGTGATGTGGTAGTTAAAGAACTTATCTGCTAACCAGAATGTTGGGGGGTTCAAACCCACCAGTCACTCCACAAGATAAAGATGTGACAATTTGCTTTCATCCAATCACTCCACAGGATAAAAATGTGATAATTTGCTTTCATAAAGATTTACTTGCTGAGAAAAACGCTTTGGAGTCATTCTGCTCTGTCCTGTAAGACAACGACGAGCTGGAGTCGACTTGATGGCAGTGGTTGAGGAGCATACTGTGAGGGAGGCAAACATAACCTACCTCCAAGGAACCCACGTGAAGTCAAGAGACAAGTAGCCCAGCACGGTTGTGACGTACAGTACTGAGGAAAAGAGAGACAAGAGATATGTCCTCCAGGGTTACCCATTTTTTAATATTATTTCATTAGTTCCTTGTTTTTCAATGCAGCATAGTATTCTATTGTGTGAATATACCACAGCTTCTCTATCCATTCATTTGTTGATGGGCACTTGGGTTGTTTCCAACTCTTTGCTATTGTGAACAAAGCAATAAACATAGGTGTGCATACATCTGCTTGGGTGGCAGTTCTGGTTTCTTTAGGGTATATTCCCAGTAGTGGAACTGCTGGGGCAAATGGTATTTGTATTTTCACCTTTTTGAGAAAGCCCCGTACAGCCTTCCATAGTGGTTGCACCATTTTAAACTCCCACCAACAGTGAATAAGGGTTCCAATTTCTTCACAACCTCACCAGCATTTGCTGTTTGCTGCTCTCAGTTTTGATATTGTTACTGGGGTGAGATGATATCTCCCAGTTGTTTTGATTTGCATTATGTTGAGTGAAATATCTGAGTCACAAAAGGACAAGTACTGCATAATGCCACTATTATAAAATGGGACTAACATCGTATTTGGGGGAAACTAAGAAAAGAGGGGATAAATAATGTACACTGCATTGAAACAGATGAGGGAGAGAACTGTTTAAAAGGGATATTATTTACATGACAAGAGTCCATAATAAGAGCTGCATAGTAAAGTGGACTGGGGGGTGTGGAGGGGAATTGTATGAGAATGAAAGTTTTTTTTTCTTTTCAATGAGAAAAGTGAACTGGGGGAGAGGGATGGACAGGGAAGAAAATGTGCAACAATGAATGAATGGAAATCTAAGTTCTCTATAATTTTTCATTAAAATCTCAATTTAAAAAAAGAGATAAGATATGGGGAGATAACCATGGGCCAGATCAAGATGAGCTTTGTTCTTATTCTTTTTGTTATGACTGCCATGCAGTCACCTGCAACTCATAGCAACTCTATATACAACAGCTCTGAAGCCTGCCCTATCCTGAGCCAGTCTCACTGACTCTAACACACCTACCACCATTTATCCCAGTGACTTTGTCAATTTATCTTTTGGGGTCTTCCTCTCCTGCGCTGGCCATCCACCCTTCTGAGCATAATGTCCTTCTCCAAGGACCAGTCTTTCCTGGCCATGTGCCCAAGGTATGTGAAGTGGAGCTTCAAAATCCTAGCCTCCAAGGGGAACTTAGTTTCACCCTCTCCAAGAAAGGCATGTTTGTTCTCTTGGCAGTCCATGGCATGTTCAAGACTCTTCTCCAGAACCACAACTTAAAGGCATTGATTCTTCTCGCATCCTTTGTCATTGTCCAGCTTTCTAATGCATCGCAAGTAATTGCAAAGACCATGGCCTGTAGCAGGCACACCTTAGTTTCTAGACTGACTCTAGATCTTTGCTTCTCAGCAATCTATAGAGGTCCCTGACGGCACGTTTTCCCAGTGCAATTCGTCTTCTGATTTCTTGGTTGATGGTGCCAAGTATGTTGATTGTGGAACCAAGCAAGCTGAAATTGTTAAGTCTCAATCTCTTCTCCATCTACAATGGTGCTGTCAATTTGCCCAGTGGTGAGAACCTTTGTCTTCTTGATGTTGAGCTCAATCCATATTGAAGACAACAGTCCTTGACTTTCTGCAGCAAGCGCTTCAGGTCCTCCTCAGTTTCAGCAAGCAGGGTTGTGTTATCAACATAATGTAGGTTGTTGAGTCTTCCTAGAATCCTGATGCCACTTTCCTCCTCATAAAGCCCAGCCTCCTGAATGATCTTTTCTGCATATAGATTGAAAAGGTATGAACAAATTCTCCAATGGATGATGGGAACTGCTGCAGAGGACAGACACAGTGGGGCTTCAGTTTTGAAAAGTCAATTGATTCGCCTTGTGGAAAACTATTCTCCAGCGAACAAGGTGAGGAGACTACTGGGAGGCTCCGACAGTACCGCAGGAAGGGAAGAAACCCAGGCCTAGACTGGAACAGCGAAAGAAGAGGTCTACTTCTTGTTACCAGCTGAAGTTAACAGGAAACATCAGTAAATGACAAACTTGTGTGGAGGTTGTGGTATTATCAGTTCTTTCAGGGAAATGATTAATTATGAATTCATAACTTCTAAATCTCGTTAATGGTCCACTTTCCAGAACCCTAAGAAGATCAGACATAGAAACCTTAAAAAAATGCCCCTCTGTTTCTCTTCCACTGCTGTCAAGGCATTTCTGATTTGTAGCAATCCTTCATCCTGTTTCTGAGCCCATCAATCTAGCTGTGTGTGAGGAGACTGCCCATTCTTCTCCCTCAGAGCAACCAGTAGATTCAAACTGCTAGCCTTTGGGGAAGTAGTGCAACATATAAATGCACTACACCACCAGAGCTGTAATTCATGATGTCAACCATGTGGTATGAGAAGCATCACCCCTCAAGCTCGACATCCACAGTAGATATGGAGAATTGCCTCAGCACTCTTTCCGGCAACACCCAGATGTGGCCTGAGAATGTTTGCCAACAAAGCAGCCCACACAGCTGCTACCAATCAATAGGGCTTGACACGCAACATGAAACCTATTTGCTGTGCTTCCGGTAACCTCTGGTTGCCACATAAAGCAAAGACTTACTTGTTTAAAAATAAACAATCAAAGAACAAAGTGTGTTCTATAAGAGCAGAGCCTTTAGAATTCAGAGCTGCAGAGGTCTTTCTTTCCAAGACTGGACAGTCCAATGCTTTCCACCCTATGTCTAAACTACAACACCAGGAATTGTCCACTCCCAAGATCTGTAGAACCAGAAAACAAACCTCCCTAAATCAAAAGCTTAACCACTTTCAGAGGTAGAAAATCCTTTTCCTCTTCCTATTGTATTATATTATTCTGACTTGAAATCTACAAATTTACATTTGATTGGCACTTGGATCCAGCATCAGTAGCTTCTCAAAGAAAGCAGACTTCTGGAATCCTTCTTAGAAACGTCTAAATTCACAGTAAAGAAAGTTTCCAGTCCCCTTTGGCCCATCTCGTCAGCTTCCCCTGCATTTTGGAGATGTGGCCAACTGGGGCTGCAGTGAGGTAACATCTATGATTCACTTCAAAGGCAATGAAAACCACTCCAGGTCCAGCTCAAGAGTGGTGTAGGCTCTAGCCCTCAGCACTTCCTCGCAGAGGGCCTCTCTGGGAAAGCCACTTCATCCCACAGCCTCTGTCAGGACTGTCTTCTCCCCAAGCAGCAGAAAAAAAAAAAAAGGAAAAAAAAAAACAAAACAGAACGAAGCAGAATGCAGGATCAAAGAGAAATGAACTTCCTTCCCAACCCATCTAGATGGTGAGTTTGTTTGCAGGTGCCCCTGGGGGTTGTCAGCAGCTGAGCTACAGGGCTGCTGACCAGAGAAGGGGGACAAGATCGTTTTTCACTGGAAGAAAGAGAAAGCTCTGTCCCTTTCTGGTCTCTGGCCTTCTGGATCCATGCCCAGTCCTTTTGCATCAGATTAATCTCCCCTGGTTTCTAAGTAACAGCTTGTGTCTTGTTTCTGCAGTGCCTCCCTGTCTGTGGTTTACAGAGCTCAAGGCAACGTCCTTCACAGTCCAGGTGGGCTTGTGAGTCATTTTAAAGAGTTTTTCTAAATCCAGAGTGGGAGTGGTAAAAGGATTTTAAGGTACAAGTGAGAGATTCAACAAAATTACTCTTATCCATTTACAAATAAATGAAGTTTTGATATATACACGCACGCATAAATACAAGTGAGAAAAGTCAACAGCTAAGAGAAATGTATTTAAGAATGAAAGTGGCAAAAAATGAATTAAAAAAAGAATAAAAGTGGCACCATTGATCAACCTGTACAGCCCGAAATAGTTTATACACACACAAGCATCCAAGCTTCCCCCTGACCTTCTAGTGT